ACAAAAGAACTTATGAACCATCCACTTCCTCTTATTCCCTTGAGAGGCATTATGAATTTCTAATCTCTGGGAAAATAGCCCAGAAAAGAGTGTCACGGAATACCTTTCTTTGAAAGTATCATTGAAAGATAACAAGGAAGTTAGTTCTGTTTAAAATACTGCTGTACTTCAGTGAAAATATTTGACTTATAAAATATTAATAATCTATAACTATATTATATTCCCTATATATTTTGTTTACATATTACAAAAACTTAGAGGCATTATGAGACTATAACATTTGCATCTTTACATTGTAGAAGGAAAGGTATACTCTGTAACTTACACTTTTAGAAAAGAAAATTTAAGATTATAATTAGATATATACAATTGCATAGATTTCAGTTATGGAACTAACAGTTTTTTGGCAGACAAAAGATTTGTTTCTCTGCAATTTGCAATGCAATGTGATGAAGTTTGGCGATACCTGTGCACACTCTCTGATCCATAACTTTTCTTGTAAAGATTGCAATTCAAAAGTATTTCATATAATATAAAAATTTGAACTGATAATATCTCATTTTTTCTAAACAAAAATGCTTATTATATATATTTATATGTATATATATATATATATAATGAACCTTTGAAGGTTGAAAGATAAATATACTAGTTGGTTCTTCTCCAATGTCTTCCTTATATATATAGAATAAAGTTATCCTTTATTTGAATCTGTCATTTATTCAAACCACAGGATATAGCTTATGACATTAAGCTTGATGAAGGACAACAATAAAATCACTTTAAGGAAATATATAAACATATTTACTGAGGCTGAATGGACAATAAAAAAAACTTTCAGGATTAAAAGTGAAGAGAGAAAAGGCAGAGAATTATTTTTAAAGAGATTTGGAAATGAGAAATGACAGTTATAATGTCAGAATTCAGGATACTGGACCATTTAAAAGGCAGGAGATTCTGAGGAAGGATAAGCTACAGTTGTCATCATCCAATTCATTTATTTATGATGTCATTACACAGAAGAGAGAAGGAAACACTGTATTTTTAGATTGTTGTATTGCCGTTTGTTTTATGTAAGTGAGGTAGTTTTCTGATCAGTACGACATGCAGGATTGTCCACTTCCTTTTGTTTTGTTTCTTTACAGTTTTACATAGAGTAAGTTGGAGATACCACTTGTTCATATGTTTTTATTTTCCTCCACATGCATAAAATATTGAAAGATCTTACATAGATAGTGAAATAGATTTTATGGCTTTACCGGGCTCACAGATCATTTCTCCAGTATGTTCCAAATACCAAGACACAAAATTACCTTCATTTTTATCATGTACTCAATTCATGATCTATTTATTAGATATTTGTTATGTACCATGAACTGTGTGTTTCCACAGCACACAGTCATATGCTTGCTTCTTGTCTCCATCTAATTTGATTTTCCAGGGTAGGTTGGTTTCTAGCATCAGATTCAGAATCAAGCTAAGGCTGGCCAATGCTAAATGTTACCAAGCTTTTTACTGACAAATTATGTCATCTTGCCAGTTTTTGTTATGGAAATATGATTTGTGTGAGCTTGTTGCTACTTAAATTATAGGACTGCTTTACTTCAGCCTTGAAAATAACAAATAAATGATGAATGAGCTCCAGCCAGTCACGACATGGCAAGACCATAGTAATTATTCTCCAAAGCAGACCTGCCTAATCAATCTTAATTTTGAGTACCAGCAAGTAGCAAAGAAAGAGTGACTTCCTCTACAGGGCATGCCAAATTCCAAGAAATTAGAATAACACCAAAAGGTTAAAATCAAAATTTTACCAAATGAGAGTTGGGGTAAAAGAAGTCAAATGTCTTTGAAAAATAAAAGCCAAAGCATAAGAGAGTATTCACTCAATATAATGGATGCATATTTTTGCCAACTTTAAAAATACACCCTAGTATCCTAATTTAAAAAGAAATCTGTTTTTGCAAGTGTGGAGGAAACTTATCATGGAGCTGGAGAGAAATCTCATAGTAAGTAAAGCTTAATCCTCCTTCAGAGGACCCCATTGGATTCTCAGCACCCATATGAGGTAGCTCATTAACATCGGTTAACTCCAGCTTCTGGTGCTCCAATGGTCTTTACCAGCACCAACATATACATGCATAGAGGTGGACGGATGGAAAGATGGACACACATACTCACACAAGTGAATAAATAAATAAAAATAAATCTTTGAAACAACTTAACTATCATTAACAAACACAAACTATTTCTTCTAAGGAATATTTTTTTATGTGAATGAAGAATATAGTTCTGGTATTTTAGAATACAAATATTTCACAAGTAATTTTCAAAGTGGCATGGGAAGAAAAAAAATCAAGGGACTATTTAGGTGGAAATCCTTCTTAAACCACGAGTGGAAAAATGTCAACTTCCCATTCCCCAGCTTGGTCTTTATTGTAATGAGCGTCAAGTTCAAACTTTGAAGTTCTCAATTAAATCATTTTTAAATTGCCAGTTGTACTTCCTCTCATTGCCAGATTGAATGCATTTTTGTTTTGAGTCTAAACTTGAAATGCATCTTTAAATAAAGCTATTTGTTTTTAAGCTAGAATTAAAGGGTATGTAATTTCAGTGCTTTGAAATGAGCTGTAATAGAGGCCTGTTGATCTGCAGCAGGCATAGGATATCCAAGCTGAGTTAGCAAACATATTTATTTGCCCAGTGACCAAAAGTATGTAAACTTACTTGACTTAGAGCCCCAAGAAGCTTGCAGCAGGATTCTGGGCAGTCTGGCCAGTGGCTTTTTTGCTCTCTGTCTTTTGTTGCAGTAGAGGCTACAGCAAATTTGAATTACTGTGAAACAGACCCTGTAGACTGAACTGCATTCTTCTTGGGCATCTTGTTTTTCTTTCCCTCACATCCCATGTTGTAAATGTGGAAGATTCTTCCAGAACAACCCTATTCCAATCACAAGAGGATGAGCTCATCCTGAGAATTGGCAGACTCTGGCACTACTACCCTTCATCTTCAGCTGGACCTCTCCTAGATAAGGCTTTCCATGGGCCCATACTCACCCGCAGCCTAGTAGTCTCTTCATAAAGAATAAATGAGGATGTTGACAATACAGTAGTAGAAGTTCTGAAAGAATTACAGAAATATTGTTTAAAACTAGATTTTTAAATTAGTAAGATACAGCTTTGCAGTCCATGAGCTCCCGCTAGATCTGGTCAGCTGTCTCCGTGGATTTCCCCATCAATATCTTGACTCCATCCCTTGCTTATATAATCCTTCCTCCCCCTTTTCTGCTGAACTCCAAGAGTTTGGCTTAGTGCTTAGCTGTGGATCTCTGCATCTGCTTCCATCAGTTACTGGATGAAGGTTCTATGGTGACAATTAGGGTAGTCATCCATCTGATTATAGGGGTTGGCTAGTTAAGGCACCCTCCCCACTATAACTAGGATATAGCTATAGCTGTATCTTAGCTGGGGTCATCTTTGTGGATTCTTGGATATTTCCTGGCTTCTGGTTTCTCCCTAACCCCGTAATGACTCCCTCTATCAAGATATCTCTTTTATTGCTCTCCAGGTTCCAAGGGGGATAGGCGTGGTCCTGCCTCAACATGATATGCAAGGCATTGTTGACTCCCACAGGAGGGAGGCCTTATCCTTTCTAAGGAGTGGATGGCAGTGGAGGAAAGAGGTGGGGGGAAGGGAGTGAGGGAGAACTGTTGTTGTTATGTAAAATTAATAAAAAAGCTTCTGTTAAAAAAAGATGCAACTTTTCTATGAATATGCATATATATATATGACAAATATGTATATGCCTATGTGTGTGCATATATATGACTATTTTTTCTTCTGATATATAATACTATACTTTCAAAGGACTTTTGAAAGTTTTATTTGGAAAGTAGCCAAAGCCATAAGAATTTATGCTGAGGTATAGAAATTGCACCCAAATGTAATTACATAATCTCAGCATTTATTGTTTGTTTTTGAAACATCACTGGGGCTTTTACTTTATTTCCATGTGAAAAACATCAATTTAACTTTTTCTACTAAAATTGCAGTAGGTTTACAACACTTGGACTCTGTAAATTTTTATGTTTAGGCTATAAAGCCATTCTTCCCCTAAATCTTTGCCTTTTTCAGATTGGCCCTCCTTTTGCTTGTTAAGGTATAAACAAATTGGGTCTATTTATACATGCTTATGAAGTAATGAAGGTGCCAATTAATGTTTCGTGGATATGTTACATTTTTCTAATTTTTATAAGAACCTTTAAAACTCATAGTAAGATCTACAAATGCATAGCCTATTTCATAATCTTCTGTTCTGAGTATATGGTGACTCAGTTAAGCATTTCAGAAAAAGCCCATCATTAACATTAATATTCTGATGGAAGATTTTTATGAGAAAATATTTTTCCATCTTAGAGTCAAATATTGACAGGTGAAAGAGAGGTTTCTTCGGTAAGGATTCTAAGTGCATTCATTCACTCGGAGTCCTCCACTTGCCTGTAGCTTTACAAGCTGTACTTCTCATCGTAAGACTGATGCGCTCTCCCAAGTCTATGGTTCTAGGAAATGGTTTGCAGGAGAGGTTTCTTCTGAACAGGTCACCTCTGTAAGCTGCAAAACCAAAAGAGCTATTCTGTTAATTAATGGTATCTGCTATAGCATTTGTAAGAGAAACTAACAAAACTGCTTGAAAATTCCAGTGTTATAAACTTGATGACCTCTTTTTCAAATGTAGCTACGGGTGTTCTTGCTATGGTTATTGCACTCCTCATATTATTTTTACAGTAATTTTTGATGTTTATGCTGTATTTTAAAGTGTATGATTATTTTAAAAGTATTTATTTGGTGAAATATTTTTAAAGGTGTTCAATTAAGCAAGCATGACTGCAATAAATTATTTACTTTCAGTTTGGAAAAGGTGAATAAAAGTGATTGGCCAATACCGTACCATTAATCTATTCTCTTTTCTCCTTTCTCTCTTTACTTCTCTCTCTCCAATAGAAGTGGAACAAAAAGGTAATTAAATACCTTTCATAAATTATATACTATTTATAGGCTAAGTTGTTTAACAGCTTAACATTTAGCTAAATAATTTTGTTATTAATTCTTATTTCATGCAAATTTATTGACTACTTCTGCTGCTCAACTTCACTTTAATCTGTGTTACTGACCAGTGCTGGTTTGATCCTTTTACCTAACACCAACTAGTAATATTATAAAATCATCAACCCTGTCTTTTATTTCGCTTTATTTGAAACTTAGGATTTAGAAATCCAGCAGGTATGGTGACTAATGATTGCTTTAGATTTGTTCCTCATTCTCTCTTAATTTCCCTTAGCTCTACTGTGCTTCTCCTCCTACATTAACTAACTACTGGAGAAAGGGGACAGAATACTCTTCTTAATTATCCTCAGTGCCGTTAATGTCTGTGGCCAAGCGACTCTGAATGCACACAATCTTACCTACAGTTAGTAACCTTGAGCCCACTATTAATGATAACATAAGGTTAACATACAATTTTGAGTTACAGAGTCACTCGTGTTTGTAGCAAATTTTCCATATGAAAACTCCTAAGTTCTATACCATCATTATTGTTTGCAATTACAAATTTATAGTGGTCCCTATCTTTGCAGAATGTGAAGGTCAACTTCTGCCACAAAACTTTTTATTTCTTTAGAAAGTAAGTCTTTGACTATCTTAGGAATGTCCTTTCCTTTCAGCCACCTTTACTGTATAGCTGAGGTTCCTCTCAGACTGTTTTCCAGGGGATCTGTGTTTCTAGTTAATACTGAGGACCTAATTACTAACAACAAAGGATAATCCTTTATTCGTTAAAAAGCAGGTCAGCGTCCAATTCCTTGTGGCTTCCTACTTTTTTTCACCCAGGAAAATTCTAATCATCTCAAACCTAACAGCGGACTGCATGGTTGTTTCTTCAGTGTGTTTGCCTTGCAAGTAGAAGCAAGCAACGCTTCCCAGAGCAGGTTCAGAAGAACACAGTCATCCAAAGTGGCTTCACGGAAAGGGATCAAATTGTGCAATATGTTCACTCACCCAACTTCCGATTTAGAGATTCATCGATGTACTTAAGCTATGATAATCTTTGCCACGCTTTTATGTACTATCTATCATATGTCATAACTGAATGTGGCTCCAGGTCCCCTTTTTCCTTGTGTGCAGCTGTGCCACAGCCGCTTCAAGAACCACCCTTTGGGAAACGTTGTTCTGTAGTCCCTTCATTTCAGATGGCCCTGCCCAGCTTTCTTACCACCAAACTGACAATATTCTTCAGTGAGTTATACTAAACAACAAAAAGAATAGAATGATTCCTGTCCATTTTCCTTCTGAAGTATGAGCAGCAAAATTATAGCAAGTAATCTTGTTTTTTTTTTTTCAATGCCTTTCTCATGTAACAGTAAAAGGTACATGGTTTTAAGTTCCAGTAATACTGTACTTAACAGGACGTTTTTAACTGATTAAAATCTAGATCCTGGGTTTTTTTTCTGTAACCTTTCACTTTCTTCTTCTCTTCTTCTTCCTTTCCTTTCTTTCTCTCCCTTTCTCTTTTTCCTTCCAGTATCCATCCATCACTCATCTTTAATTGAATGGGTTGCATGCTCTGTGTGTGTTGCAACAGCTTTGAGAGCCACCTTCCCCTCCCCCTTTTTTTGCTGGAAGATTCAGTGGCCAGTGTTGCAGATCTTTTCTTTTCCTTTATTCAAATGATAATAATGTGGAATATCAATTTATTCATGATTAATAATTATCAAACCGTCAATTTCATCAGAGTGGAAACAATGGATTATCATTTTCAAATGAGATACAGTTCTTCATTGAACTAAAAAAGCATCATGTGTAAAGTTGGTACTTGGTAATATGTCTATAGAACTCATAGACATATGCTACACTTCAGACATGCACCAAAATATGTGTTTGTAAAGGAAAAACTCAGAAAAGCACAGCTGCTTCTGAAAAGGCTAACATTTTTCCAACAAGTGACATCAAATTGTTTGAAGACAAAAATACAAAATTAATGTGGAAAAATGCTTTGTATAACAAACAGTAATGCCACAATATAAGTGGTGGTGGGTATCGCTTGTTGGAGTTGTGTTCTGTTTGCTAAAAATGAAAACACACAAAAGGAGATTCAATTAATATATTTGTTATTATAACTTTCCCTCCTGACAGTTTTTCTTTGTCCTGGACTGCTAAAAGGAGTGTACCAGAGTGAACACTTGTTTGAATCGGACCACCAATCTGGGGCATGGTGCAAAGACCCTCTACAGGCTTCCGACAAGATTTATTATATGCCCTGGACCCCCTACAGAACTGATACCCTGACAGAGTATTCATCCAAAGATGACTTCATTGCTGGAAGGCCAACAACGACCTACAAGCTCCCTCACAGAGTGGATGGCACTGGATTTGTAGTATATGATGGTGCCCTGTTCTTCAACAAGGAACGTACCAGGAACATAGTAAAGTTTGATTTACGGACTAGGATAAAGAGTGGAGAGGCGATCATAGCAAACGCCAATTACCATGACACATCCCCATACCGATGGGGTGGCAAATCTGACATAGACTTGGCAGTGGATGAAAATGGATTATGGGTAATCTATGCAACAGAACAAAACAATGGCAAAATTGTCATTAGCCAGTTGAACCCTTATACCCTACGGATTGAGGGGACATGGGACACGGCGTATGATAAAAGGTCAGCTTCTAACGCGTTTATGATTTGTGGGATTCTGTATGTGGTCAAATCTGTATATGAGGATGATGACAATGAGGCCACTGGTAATAAGATTGACTACATTTACAACACCGACCAAAGCAAGGATAGCCTGGTGGATGTACCCTTTCCTAATTCCTACCAGTACATCGCAGCTGTGGATTACAACCCCAGGGACAATCTGCTTTATGTGTGGAATAACTACCATGTTGTGAAATACTCTTTGGACTTTGGACCTCTGGATAGTAGATCAGGTAAGTTTGATTTGGGGTAGTTTTCAGAGAAAAACTACTATTTGTTCTCAATAAGCTGTTTCATGAAGTTTTAATTCCCTATGCAATCTTCTGACTTGAGTATCTAACACATAATATTAACTGTGCTTATTTTGGAAAGGTTGGTTGTTGTCTAAGAACACGGACCTATGAGAAATTGACTCTGTCCCTTATCTAGTTCGACTCCTACATCATCCTGCTTTCTTTGAGATATATAGTGAGATATTGAGTTATATAGATATCATATAGTTACTTCTTTCATAATGAAATAGATAAAATTTCTGCTTATATTGTATGCTGTTCTTTCACATTAATTGTGGAATGTTCTTGAGAATATCTTTTTCCATTTGGAACATATCAAAATGTTAACTTGGCATAATGCTTTCTTGAGCTAGGTGCCAACAACTTGACCCAACAAAGTACATTGCATAAGACCAACCATCAGGGAAGCAGGAATTAGTTGAAAGTACGTGTCTCAGCAAACTTAATAGTAACTCCATAAGTACAACAGTTCACATGTTTTAATGAATGACAATAATTCAAAACACTGTCCTGTTTAAGCCTGAGATAATCTTTAATTTCAATTATTTAAATGTTTCCCTCTTCCAGAACCCACTATTGACTTTTAATATTATATAAAGATGATTGTAAAAATCTTTAATGATTTTCATTTTTTTTATTATTAGATCTTTTTTACTAGGCATGGTGGCTCATGCCTGTAATCTCTGCACTTGGATGGCTGAAACAGGAAAATTGCCAAGGATTTAGGCCAGTCTAAGTAATGTGGAATTCTAGTCAAGCGTAGGCCTCAGTCTGTGACATTATCTCAAAAGTATGCTAAAAAATAAGTCAGTAAAAGTTTAATTTTGTAACATGCCATAGTACTGTTGTCCAAGTTAACGTATACTGGAAAACACAGAAGAGTATGAATTTTGGTAGTAATATAGTAATTAAAAATAAATTATTTATTTCAAGTAGAGTTTAGTTTTTGTTGGGCAGTGGTGGCACATGCTTTTAAACCCAGCAGTTGGGAGGCAGAAGCAGATGGATCGCTGAGTTTGGGGCCAGCCTTGTCTCCAGGACAGCCAGGGCTACATAAAGAAACCCTGTCTTGAAAAAAATCAAAAATAAATTAAAAGAGTTTAGTTGTTAGTATTTCTCATTTTCTGAATTATGTGCCATACCCTTCTGAGCATGCGATTTTATTGTCTAATTTAACCCTTTACACACAGTTCTCATAGAGAACTGATGAGCTAACTTCATTCACCTTTGTATTATGAACATGTCTGATCATAATTTCTTCGCAGACTTTAATATAGTGTTTTATAGAAATGGAGCATAATTGGCTTATTTTCTTTTTTATTTATTTTATTTATTTTTATTTATTTTTCCATTCAAAAATTTCCACTTTCTCCCCTCCTCCCATTGCCCTCCTGCTCCCCCACTCACTCTCCTCCCTCCCCCACCAGTCCTAAGAGAGAGCAGGGGTCCTGACTTCCTTGCTCACCTTCTCCCTCCTTCTGCTCTTCAACCAAGGCAATTGTGACATGATAACACCAGAAACCAGATTACAATCGGCTTATTTTAAATGCACAAATGTATAATGGCTTTCCACCTCTTCCTCGAAGAAACTGACAAATTTGGTAGCATCTTTTCTAATCCTTAAAGATCTTCAATCAGTGATGTCATGTCTTTCCACAATTAGCAATGCTGATGTTATGTCGAATTAACTTTTCTACAATGAGAAGTCTCTGGCTGCAGCATCTCTAGTAACAAGTTCTAGCTTCTCTCAAAAGATAAACGATAACTCCAAAACGACATTCCCAGCTGTATGACATGCTGGTAAGACTCAGACTCAGCGCTTCTCAGCTGAGAACACAGACACAATCAATAATTTGGAGAATTGTGTGGAGTCTGTATCTCACAGATCTGACCTTTTTAAATGAAAATTTGTATTTTTCTGTGATCATACTGTTTATGAATAATATGTAATCTTTTTGCTTTACTCCACTGTGGCATGGAGTAATTCCTAGTGGAAACATATTTTATTCTTGGTTTGTAGTGCAAGAATAAAGGGGCAATAACATCTCAAGTTTCATTGAACTAATAGATTTTGTCCTATTTTTATCTGAATAACATTCTAAAATTTACTAGTATTCATAGTAATTCAAAGTATTAATAAACACATTTATATTCATTTATTTATTTATTTTTGGTTTTGTTTTTAGAGGAGAGTTTCTCTGAGACTCAGTTCTGGGGAACTTGCTTTGTAGACTGGCCTCAAACTCACTGAAATCTGCTCCCAAGTGCTGGTATTAACGGCATGTGCCACCACCACCCAGTTAACACAATTCTTCATCCAGACTTTATAAATTAACCTTGAAGAATACTGGACCTTCATTTCAACATATTTAGACACTTGCCCAAAATATGTCTGGTATGCACCCAAAAACTTTATACATGTGTGTATATAATCTCTCCACATATATAAACAGAAATATACATATATTTATATATAGATAAGAATTGCATTAATTGTTTATATAAGGAAAAATGTACTTCTCATTTAAAATTATTTCTCTGCTTATGAGAGTTAAAATATGGGCCATCTTGATGGCATGTATTAGTGTCACATTCTAAGATGCTGTTTGTGAAGAGAAAGATATTAAGAAATGATAGATTTCATTTTAATTGGACTCTTTTAAGAAAAGAGATTTGGTTTTCATTGTTTTTGAATGTTCACACTTAAAACTTTGTCCACTTTACAAACAGTGGAATTTCACCTGTATTGAATTTGTCAACATAATCACCAAAAAAGTACCAATTTGCATGCATGGATGCTCAAATTAAAAAGGTAGTACTCTGGCATTGGACCTACTGCAATTTAGAGGTGGAAAGAATGACTGTAGAAGTAAATTTTATGCATGGTATGTGTGGATATGAGGATTTCAATTAGCATTAATAGGAGCTGTTCATCTTATTCCACAAAAAACAGCTTTAGCTGGGTATTTTTCAGAGTAAATTACACTGGTGTTTTTCAAAGCAGCTGCCTGGTGTGAATTCGTACTGTCATTTTTGTTATGGATCTTCTGTGTCTGGATACAAAAATCTCAATTTAAAGAAAATAGTATAGGGCCAAAAATGGAAGGGAAGGAGGAATGGAGGAAGAGAGGGAGGGAGGGAGGGAAGGAGGGAGGGAGGCAGGGAAGGAGGAAGGGAGAAGTAGAAAAGGGGAAAGAACAAAGGCAAAATGTACTTGCTGTCTGCTGGTATTCAACTGAGGATTTTTCTCTAATTTATGTTATGTTTTGTTAACAAGAGGTAGAATTCTCAAGTTTTCATGGAAAGGGTTACTTTTGTCTTATTTTTGCTGTATGAAACTATTCTGTACCACACAAGACTTACTCTGGGAAGATAAAGTGCAAACATTCCTCTCTTGAATCTATAGAAAGAGACTCAACCATGCTTCCCAATAGGCAACATCTGCCTTTGAACCTGAACACGAGAGTCTAAGGATCTGGCTTTGAATTCTACCCTGGCTTTTTTTTTTTTATTTTTTTATTTTTTTTATTTTTGAGACAGGGTTTCTCTGTAGCTTTTGGTTCCTGTCCTGGAACTAGCTCTTGTAGACCAGGCTGGCCTCGAACTCACAGAGATCCGCCTGCCTCTGCCTCCCAAGTGCTGGGATTAAAGGCGTGGGCCACCACCGCCCGGCCTACCCTGGCTTCTTGTCTGATTATCCATAGTTTCAGTCTTGGGTTTGACAACTGTGGAATAGGAAAATCATGTCTAGCGTAATATATTGTTAAACTTTAATTAGATGATGTTTATTTGATACATTAAGAATCTTAGTCTGATTGCTGCAGGGTAACTATTACCCATATTATGTATTTATAATAGAAAGATGTTCATCTCTGTGGCCACTGCTTTGGTGTTGTGTCTAGTTTATGAGGCAGTTTTAGGAATGGTGTCAGTGCCTTCTTTTCTCCTCGGAACTATTCTATGACGTGTTGAAGCCATTTTTTCAATTCTAATCCTTTCCTCATCTCCCAGCAGTAAATTAATTCTCAAGCACAGAGTGGGAAGACTCTGTTTAGTCCCTTCACACAACGTCTATGTTTGCTTTCTTCTCCAACGGAAAATCTCTGTGAAACAGATTGTTTTCAGCAATATGTATGTAAAGAAATTAGTTTTAATCAACTCATATAAAATTTTAATTCAAATGCTCAATTTAGACTATAAGTGAAGATCTCTTGAGAATATAGTTAGGGTTTATTCTTCTTAGAAAACCTTAGAAGTTTAATGTTTGTTTCTCGTTTTTCTCAGAAAACATTAGTTTCAGAACGTTAACCTCTGCTCGTTTATTAGGCATTTATCAAATACAAAATTGTCAGTGTTCGTGTGGTTTTTCAGTATGAAATTAGTGTGAAGATAGCTAGAAATATGCACTGATGGTGCTATTTAATATTCATTTTAAGCATTCAATTAGATCAGAAAACCATTTCTTTAGAAATATTAATAATGTGATATGCTTCACATTAAGGAATTCAATGTGTATAATCTCCAAATACAAAAACCTTTTTTGGAGGCATGTTAATAACACTTGGATTCACACTGAGATATGCTCGTTGATATTGTTTAGTCATTTCTGTCTATAGTCTTTGTTGACTGATAAACAATAGATGTTCCATAATGATTTCCTGAAGGATATCAGGAATGCATGAGTAAATGAAATTTTCTATACTTGCTTGTTCAGTCTACTGTGAGAATGAAAATGTTTTTCATGCAATCCCTGGCTGGTCCTCTCAGTGTATGCCTAAAGCATCTATTACCTGGAAGTTATATGAAGTCCTGACATCCTCCCCAGTTCCACCTCCACTTCTTCATCATGTGTAAAAGTTTAGAGACTGGGGGCTGGAAAGATGGCTCAGAGGTTAAGAACATTGTCTGCTCTTCCAAAGGTCCTGAGTTCAATTCCCAGC